TCCAGATCAGTCCAGGTCAGTCCAGGTCAGTCCAGGTGAGTCCAGATCAGTCCAGGTGAGTCCAGGTCAGCCCAGATCAGTCCAGGTCAGTCCAGATCAGTCCAGATCAATCCAGGTCAGTCCAGATCAGTCCAGGTCAATCCAGATCAGTCCAGGTCAGTCCAGGTGAGTCCAGGTCAGCCCAGATCAGTCCAGGTCAGTCCAGATCAGTCCAGGTCAGTACAGGTCAGTCCAGATCAGTCCAGATCAATCCAGATCAGTCCAGGTCAGTCCAGGTGAGTCCAGGTCAGCCCAGATCAGTCCAGGTCAGTACAGGTCAGTCCAGGTCAGTACAGGTCAGTCGAGGTTAGTCCAAACAAGTCCACAGAAGTTTCATGTCCAGGTGTGAGGAGGCTGAAATAAAGATGGAGTCGTCAGGAGTCTCAGGGCAGTCCACCAGTGTGGGGCTATTACAGAGTGTTGTGGTGTTTACCTGACAGGAGTCGACTCCACCCTCAGCGTGTCCAGCACACAGCATGCTGGAGGTGATGGTGTACTCAGGTAACTGAAGACCACACTGCTCCTGAAGAACCAGAGGAACCTTGGCCTCCTGGAGGACATCAGGGAGGGAACCTGAGACAGAGGGACAGACAGGAGGACAGACAGGACAGGAGGACAAACAGGACAGAGGAACAGGCAGGAGGACAAACAGGACAGGAGTACAGGCAGGAGGACAGACAGGACAGAGGGACAGGCAGAGGGACAAACAGGACAGGAGGACAAACAGGACAGGAGTACAGGCAGGAGGACAGACAGGACAGAGGGACAGGCAGAGGGACAAACAGGACAGGAGGACAAACAGGACAGAGGAACAGACAGGACAGGAGGACAAACAGGACAGAGGGACAGACAGGACAGGAGGACAAACAGGACCGAGGGACAGGCAGGAGGACAGACAGGACAGAGGGACAGGCAGGAGGACAAACAGGACAGGAGGACAAACAGGACAGAGGGACAGGCAGCAGGACAAACAGGACGGAGGGACAGGCAGGAGGACAGACAGGACAGAGGGACAGGCAGGACAGGAGGACAGACAGGACAGAGGGACAGGCAGGAGGACAGACAGGACAGAGGGACGGACAGGAGGACAGACAGGACAGACAGACAGACATGTATATGAAGTCAGTGTAAACACTGAAACATGTAAACGTGTCTCACTCGGCTCAGTGTCTCTGCACAGTGTGTTCAGTCTGTTTACTGAGGACAGTTTATATGGTACCTTGTGCTGTGTGTGGTACAGTAAACAGTAAACAGTATGATTTATTATTCTTATCATTATTATTACATGTGTAGTTTATATGTACGTGTCATACTGTGACATGCTAAATGTGTCTCACCCTGCTCAGCGACTCGTCCCCATCCAGCGATCAGACATCTGGTCCCTGCGGTGAAGTTCTGACCCTCAGCAGGTAAACACAGCGGCTGGACGAACTCTGTACACATACACACACACACACACACACACACACAGAATTTTATCAGATTCATGGTTAATTCAAACTGTCGACAGCTGCATATTAAATTTGTCAAATAATCTGAAACAACAACACAAATTCATTTTAAACATGAAAACTAATATTTTACAACAAAGTAGAGACTGTTCTTATTTATTTATTTATTTATTTATTATGATAGTTATTAAGGTCATCATTGTTCAGTTGAGTTTGAATATTAATCACAGAAACTGTGACTTTAAAGTCAAACTGTTTGCAGATGACACTGTTTCTACATGACTCAGTTGTTGTTGTTTACAGTTTGTCATGTTGTTTCTCTGGAACAAACTCTAAGTTCTCAGGTTCAGAAACAGGAAACTTAAACTCTAGGTCAGTTACCATGGTAACAGTTACCGTGGTAACAGATCCTGTTCTCTGGCAGGTTGAGTGTCCCTCTGACAGAGACAGCCTCATGTCCTCAGAGTCTCGGTCTGTGTCACAGCTCATTGATCAGCGCAGGTTCATGTCAGAGGCCTGGTCAGATATCAGTTTGTTACTCAGGACGATCTGAAGTTAGCTGCTGTCTGTCATGATTTTTGTGCAGCATCAGTGTCTGTCCGCTCAGACTCAAACCTCAAAGGGACCCCCATCTGTCATCATACCTATGATCACAGCCGTCAGTTTGTTCCATCAGTCATGACATGTTAACAACACGTCATCTCCGTTTAAACTGTGAGAATCAGACACATCCGATCAGTGAATAATTATCCCCTGAATTTATGATTCCATCAGACACACTGATGGAAGATAACTCCTCTAATATCTGACATGATGATGTGTTTTGTTATATATTTATATTATCATTATTATATTTATTATAATACTTACTATTGATCTATTATATATTATTATCTTATTTTCGATGATCATATCTCTGCACATGGTTTCAGCTGCAGAATGTTAATGCGAGGGTTTCTCTGTAATGTTTACAGTCTGAACGTGTTTCATCATCATCTCATTTAAAAGGTTTAAATTTATGACCTGTGTTAAAGCAGCTGGAATAACGCTGTCTGTTTCTGTCCTCAGAGACTGATAACCAAACGTCATCATCACTGATCTCAGTTCAGTCTCTGAGTCCGTCTGTCATTTAGAGTTTCACATCCTCGGTTTCTGACCTCTGTGTTTTATCAGATTAAAGATGCACAAACACATGTTGAAACTCTAATGTAGACAGCAACATGTATGAATGAATGAATGAATGAATGACACTGAATGAATGAATGACACTGAATATAACTTTACTGTGCTCATTAATTGGGAGTTCTCTCCGCTCTGACTCAGGTCCTGAAATAAAATAAACAGTCGGCACGTCGACCCACAGATACATGACATATTCATCATGATCCTGCTGAGCTGCGGCAGCCGAGCTCACGACCACAGGTATTAAAATCTCTATGTACACCAGATTTAAATGGAGGCTCCGCCTTTTATTGACCTGTTGCCATGGTGAATAGCATTGGAGCTCCACTGATAATGATTTGTTCATTCACTGAGTATGAGCTGAACACAGTGAACTGAACTGACTCTGATCAGCTGTTTTCTGTGTCATCAACTCAGAGTTCAGGGTCAAACTCAGAGTTTGAGGTCAAACTCAGAGTTCAGGGTCAAACTCAAAAGTTCAGGGTCAAAGACAGAGTTCATGGTCAAACTCAAAAGTTCAGGGTCAAAGACAGAGTTCATGGTCAAACTCAGAGTTCAGGGTCAAACTCGGAGTTCAGGGTCAAACTCAAAAGTTCAGGGTCAAAGACAGAGTTCATGGTCAAACTCAGAGTTTGAGGTCAAACTCAGAGTTCAGGGTCAAACTCGGAGTTCAGGGTCAAATTCAAAAGTTCAGGGTCAAAGACAGAGTTCATGGTCAAACTCAGAGTTCATGGTCAAACTCAGAGTTTGAGGTCAAACTCAGAGTTCAGGGTCAAACTCGGAGTTCAGGGTCAAACTCAAAAGTTCAGGGTCAAAGACAGAGTTTGTGGTCAAACTCAGAGTTCAGGGTCAAACTCAGAGTTCGTGGTCAAACTCAGAGTTTGACATCAAACTCTGCGTTCAGGGTCAAACTCAGAGTTCGTGGTCAAACTCAAAAGTTCGGGATCAAACTCAGAGTTCAGGGTCAAACTCAAAAGTTCAGGGTCAAAGACAGAGTTCAGGGTCAAACACAGAGTTCAGGGTCAAACTCAGAGTTTGTAAACGTTGCTCTTTGCTGAGGTGTTTGTGTTTCCTGTGTGTTGGTACTGACGGGTGAAACTGATTGGCTGCTGCAGATGCATCATGGCGATGTCAGCCTGTTTGGTCTGGCTGTTGTACTCTCGGTTGATGACGATGCGATCGACTCTTCGGGTCTGAACGTCCACAGAGCTCATGTCACTTTGAGAGTGAAGACCCAGAACAGCTGACCACGACTGAAGGTGGATGTTCTTCCTGTGGGACAAAAACACATCTGATTTATTTATGTTTATGTTTACATTAAAAAGTCTATAACTGTAACTGTCACACTGAACCTCAGTTTATTGTAACACCTTCATCCATCATTCATTCATAACTTCTTAAAAACTTTGTCTCTCTCTGTTTGGTATCAGCTTCTCCACTGCACTGATGATGACGATGATGGTGATGATGATGATGATGATGGCTTCATGTTTTATTTAAAAACCACCAACAGTAAAAATAATAAAGTATTTTTTGTGTTCTCTGACCCGTAGACACAATGTGCCGCCGTCAGCAGCCAGTCTCTGCCAATCAGAGAGGCTCCACACAAGTGATGCCCCCTCCAATGAAGAGATACGATCCATGGCCACGCCCCCTTCACCGCATTAACTCCGCCTACCACTCTGGCCTCACCTGACAGGTAACAACAGACACAGTTTACAGTCAGATGTAAAATTAAAACCAGACATCAGTGTGAACCTTAGAGCAGTATTCAGTCCACCACCTTCACCAGGTTTCCTCTCTGCTGATTGGTCCGTTTCCACCGTGTCATTAACAACCTGTCGGACGCCGCAAGCTGAAACACACAGAGGCAGTCGTCACTGTTACAACATCTCAGTCCACCTTACAGTAAAACAACATCAATAAATCAACAGGGTTTGTGAGTGTAGCTGTGTGTTGTTGTTGTTTGTGAGTGTAGCTGTGTGTTGTTGTTGTTGTTTGTGAGTGTAGCTGTGTGTTGTTGTTGTTTGTGAGTGTAGCTGTGTGTTGTTGTTGTTTGTGAGTGTAGCTGTGTGTTGTTGTTGTTGTTTGTGAGTGTAGCTGTGTATTGTTGTTGTTGGTGAGTGTAGCTGTGTGTTTTTGTTGTTGTTTGTGAGTGTAGCTGTGTGTTGTTGTTGTTGTTGTGAGTGGAGCTGTGTGTTATTGTTGTTTGTGAGTGTAGCTGTGTGTTGTTGTTTGTGAGTGTAGCTGTGTGTTTTTGTTTGAGAGTGCAGCTGTGTGTTGTTGTTTGTGAGTGTAGCTGTGTGTTGTTGTTGTTGTTGTTTGTGAGTGTAGTTGTGTGCTGTTGTTGTTTGTCAGTGCAGCTGTGTGTTGTTGTTTGTGAGTGTAGCTGTGTGTTGTTGTTGTTTGTGAGTGTAGCTGTGTGTTGTTGTTGTTTGTGAGTGTAGCTGTGTGTTGTTGTTTGTGAGTGTAGCTGTGTGTTGTTATTTGTCAGTGCAGCTGTGTGTTGTTGTTTGTGAGTGTAGCTGTGTGTTGTTGTTTGTCAGTGCAGCTGTGTGTTGTTGTTTGTGAGTGTAGCTGTGTGTTGTTGTTGTTGTTGTTGTTGTTGTGTGTACTGACGTTGGTTGTCGCAGGTCAGAGACACCACCTTGTCACTGCTGCAGGTTTCACTGTCAGAACAACACAAACATTAAAAGGATCCGTTAAAGTGTTCTCGGGTCTAAATTCACGTGTTCACTGGTTCTGGTTCAGTTCTGGTTCTGTGTTCTGCTCGGGAATCTCAGCTTCACGGTTCTGATTCTGTTCTACTGCTGGTTCTAGTTTTAGTTTTAGTGCTTGTTCTACTTCTACTACAAGTCTAGTTTCAGTTCTAGATCTACCTTTAGATCCAGGTCTATTTTCAGTTTTAGATCTGGTTCTAGTTTCAGTTCCAGCTCTGGGTCTAATTTCAGTTCTAGATCTACATCTAGTTCCAGGTGTAGTTCTGGTTGTAGTTCTACCGCTAGTTTTAGTTTCAGTTCTAGTTCTGGTTTCAGTTGTAGATCTGGTTCTGGCTCTAGCTCCAGTTACAGTTCTAGTTCTGGCTGTGGGTCTTTTTCTATCTTTGGTTCTGTATCTGGTCCCAGTTCATTTCTGGTTCTGGTCCAGGTTCTGATCTTAAGTACCTGACGTTGGTTTCCAGTGTTCTGTTGTTGGTGACTGTGACGATTGCAAATGGTGAATCTTGTGGCAGAGCGGGCAGCAATGTGGCGTCCCCTGACCTGCAGAGAGTCAGGAACAAAATCCAGATCTGAGTCTGTGTCTAGACCACCTGCTACAACAGGTGAGAGTTACCTGTTTCCCAGATACCGACAGGTGAGAGTTACCTGTGTCCCAGGTACTGACAGGTGAGAGTTACCTGTGTACCACGTACCGACATGTGAGAGTTACCTGTGTGCCAGGTACTGACAGGTGAGAGTTACCTGTGTTCCAGGTACTGACAGGTGAGAGTTACCTGCGTCCCAGGTACTGACAGGTGAGAGTTACTTGTGTACCACGTACCGACAGGTGAGAGTTACCTGTGTCCCAGGTACTGACAGGTGAGGGTTACCTGTGTCCCAGGTACTGACAGGTGAGAGTTACCTGTGTACCACATACTGACATGTGAGAGTTACCTGTGTCCCAGGTACTGACAGGTGAGAGTTACCTGTGTTCCA